GAACAGTATACAATTTATGGCGAATTTTACACATAAAACAGCAATTATAAACTTAAAAAATTCATATCTCCCAATTTACAAATTGAATTGACACAAGGTCAAAGCCATTGTGTCCATGACGATCCTAAGTTACTAAATCCATAGCAACTTAACACTTTTAACGTGTTCTCATTTGATTCGCACGAATCGACGAGGTTCACATAAAATCATGACAAAAATAAGTAACATCAATAATATACCTATATATTCAATACACATGACATCAACGAGCATATAAAATCGCAAGGCACGATTAACACATCAAACGAACAAGAAAATAAATAACAAAGGGTCGAAGCTCGATACCATTCTCGGGAAGCGCGAGAATGGTTCGAACAGATTGACGGGACGACGGGCTCGACGGCTTCACGCGTCTCGCCGGGGAAGAAGGATTCGCGGTTGAACGGGACCTTCTCGAGGGGCTGCGAGCCTGAGGATGCCGGCTTGCGGAGGTGCAGCGAAGAGATGTTAGCCGGGGCTGCCGTACGTGAATGGGGTTCACCGGAGAAAGGGCAGCGGCGTACGGAGTTGCTTGCGGGGATGCTGTACAGGGGCAGCAGACAGAGGTCACTCGCCGGAAGTTTCAGGTGCTGGAACGTTGATCTCGTGGAGGAGGATCGTCGATCGGCAGCAGCAACTGGTTGCGGGAGCAGTGTGCTCGCCGGGAAGGAGGACTGGCCGCGGCGCGTTGCGAGCGGAGGAGGGTGGTCGCGGCGGCGTTGGGGTCGCGGGTTCTAGGGAAGAGGGTGATGGCGAGATTATTTTTCTTTTTTGATGCGCGAAAGAGAGGAGATTGTGAGGGTGACAAGAGGCAAGAGAGAGATTTTACGAGAGGGGCGATGAGATTTGCATGGGAGAGAGAGAGAACGAGCGAGAGTAAATCTGAGAAGAGAGCTGGGCGTGATCGTGAATGAGGGAGAGAAACTAATACATGGTTTAAATTAAGGAGCTTAGGGTTTAGTTTCTTAATCCTCAAGACACTCAATACACACGTTTTAATGAGGGGACCGAGTCAGGGCCGATTCGGCTGAACCAGGGGGAGCGGTTCGTGCGGCGCAGGTTTTAAAGGAAATAGCTCGGCTCTCGGGCTCGGTTTTGATCGCACATTAAAATAAATAAAAACTCTGGATAATATATATTAAATACGTACATTATTTTAAAATAATAATAATAATAATAATATAAATACACATTTAGGTAATTAATTACACTTAGACAATTAATAATATTTAGGCACTCCATAATAACAACAACAACAACAACAACAACAACAACAATAATAATAATAATAATAATAATAATAATAATAATAATAATAATAATAATAATAATAAAATCCATAAATAAACGGGGCACTACACTAACCCTTCTAGAGTTTTGGCTAGAGTTATGACTTAGTATAAAGTTTGGTATTTAGCTCAACATTCTAGAGTTCTGTCTAGAGTTCTGATTCTCATAAGAGGATAGATTCTATGCCCCTAAAGTCTCATGCTATATGATAATCCACTAGCAATAATAGAAACTTGATTAGGTGACTTACCTTAGAGTAGGCGTGGCGTGAGCATGGTGTGGTCATTCTTTTGAAAACCTTTTAAGTATATAGAACCGCTAACGAACACTGATAACAAACTGTATCACCCCGCCTACAATAACTAGACTTATAAAAATCAGAGTTAAATTTTTTCTTTTAAATTTCAAAAACCACTAACTTTATTTAGGAAAACACTTTAACTTTCTCGCGGGATGCTACTAAACTTACTAACTTGCTTAACTCTTTCTTATCTCAGACAAAAATAATACATGCAACCAAATCAAATCCATTCGATCAAGGTACCATGGAGATCGGGTATTACACATGCATAGTCTGATGTCTCATAGTCTCATAATAAGTCTAATAATGCAGAAGCTAAAACATGATAAACACACACATAGTTCGAAAGACATGTTTAAGTATCACATGATATAACAAGTGTGTTTTTTAAAATATCCACTAGCTCCTGACCGCATCCACCATGCTCGCTCACGCGCCACGCTGGACTCTGTCACCTACAAAAATAGAGAGTGGGGGCGTGAGCAAAACCACTGTACTCCACAGAAACCGACACTGAATAAACATTATCTATAATAACATATCATGAAATGAGCATATACATAATTAAACTAAACTGATACTGCTTACTCCCAATATCTGACCGGTAATCGTGTACACCCTGATGGGACCTTGATGAAGAGACATTAAGGCACTCCGGGCGCCCATTAGGACCTAGTGGAACCCTGATTAAGAGACACTAAGGCACACTGGGGCCCCCTAAGGCGATACTAACTCATACGTACATACCTCAGACATGGTAAGCGATTAAAGGCAACGTAATACCCAGTACGGGGTCCCCACCTGATAGGCTGATATGCAAGTGCTGAATGGATCGTAACTGTCGGAGGCTCGACTCTCCTTAAGCTACAAAATATTTAAGCATAATATTCTAGGTACTCAACTCAACTGGATAAAAAACTTGGTTCTATAATTACTAATCTTACTAAGTTGTTCGCCCGCTCGCTCGATTTTAAAAACATTTAAAACTCATTATTTAGTCTGAATTTATTGGCTTGCCGAATTAATGAAAATTACGAGCTTAGTCAAACCATTTCTATCTGACGCTGTCTAACGTTCTCGGGAAATTTCTAAGTCCGGAACTAATTTATCTGGCTTAAACTGGGTTTGACTCGGTTCAGAAAAATGCTTAAGCTCCGACTTGCTCTGAATACGAACTAGAATTTCTTAAGTTTAGTTGGACAGGCGTCTCACTCGTGAACCGGTTGGTAGCTTGGTGCGGCCCAGCTCGGTCGCGTAGGGTCAGGCGGCGCGGCTGCTCTCAGCATGCGCGTGGGCCTCCTGGGGCACGACCTCGCTGGTGCGCAGGGCTCTAGGCGCGCTGGTGTGGTATAAACACGGGCAGGGATCTCACGGGCATCGCGGGCCGCTGACGCACGAGCGCGCTTGGGCCGCGGCTGGCAGGGCGCTGGGGCGCACGCAGACAGTGACAGGGGTGCACGAGCACATGCAGGGCTGACGGTGCGCATGGGCGCTGGATAGAGCACAGGGGTACGGCTCAGTTGGTCGTGGTGCAGGGGCACGCCCTCAGCCTCGGTGCGACTGCGACAGGAGGTGCAGCGCGCGCTGGTGATCACTAAAATTGACTTTGATGGTCCGAACATTTATATTTTCACTTTTAGTGAGGTCAAAACAATATAAATGTTTGGACCATCAAAGTCATTTTTTATGTATATGAAATATATAAGAGAATTTATTGTGTAGTCCAAATCTGGGTTCTAAATATAAAAGTCAAATAAGAAATTAATTATAACTTACAGGTCAATTTCAAATTTCACGTAAATGAAATAGTCAATTATTTAGAATTTAATAAATTACTCAACTACTTAAAATTTTTAATTTATATTGTTTATACAAAATAAATCCATTTTAATTAATGAAAATATATTACTTTTATATTTAAACTTATTATCATATAGATTTTTAAATATATGATAAAATGTTGAAATGACAATTTTATGGAATCACATTGTAGTCATCTCAAATTGATAAATTAAAATTTTAAAATGACACATATTTTGTGATGAATATAATGCAATTTATTTCATACGACATCTTGAATAAATTAATATAGGTAAATTGTATTATACATTGATTTTATATTTTAAATTTATAATATTATTAATGAATATTTATTACTGGTGCATCGAACGAGATTTGTGGGATTCGTATTAGTGATACTTGATATAGTCAACACCTGTTTGATGACTTGTTTACAATTTCTATTTTGTTTGTATATTGATTGGTGTTAGTTCTCCGCAAGTAGAAAGGAAAAAAGTCAACTTAATGTACATTGGAGGGTAGATGAATGAATGAATGAATTTGCAGATATAATTTTGAAATCGTTCATTTATTACTTTCCATTACAATGGCAATGTATGTTGGCAGAGTTGGGTAATTAGTGCATTACTAATTTGAGATTAAAAATATGTTAAATAAAAAGATTTTTAGGTAAATATTAGTTATTAATAAATAAAATATAAGATAGGTTATATATGATGTTATTACTAATTTGCCATTAAAAATATACCAAAGTAAGGGTATATTAGTTAGTTCTTCCTTTAACAAAAACACTCATCCTTTTGTAGTATTCTGAGTTACCATTTCAGTTAGCACAACATTTAGACATAGAATATAATAAAACATTTGGACTAAATATTACATAAGATTATTTGTTAGATATTGTTTACAAGAACCAATTTGTTCTGGTGGACTTCTGTGGAAGAGTTATTTTTTTTTCAACAGCTACTTAGCTAAGAGAATTATAACAATTTCTTCAAAGACCACCTCAATCTCTATCATTTTTAGTAAATTTAGAATTATTTGAGTCATACTTTGGGCGTGTATCGTAAAAGTTTTCAATGTTATGCTAGTTTCCAATGTTTCGTTGTTATTTATTTAATTAAATATTAATGATTAATTAAAAAATATAAGATTTGAAAATTATTAGTGTATTACTAATTTGTCATTAAAATTAAGTCAAAGTAAGGGTTTTTTAGGTAGTTCATTTATTAATTAAAAATATAAAATAAGATGAGTATTATTGTATTACTAATTTGCCATTAAAAATATGTCAAAGTAAGGGTTTTTTAGGCAGATCATTATTTTTATAAAATCACTCGTGAGTATTATTGTATTACTAATTTGTCATTAAAAATATGTCAAAGTAAGGGTTTTTTAGGCAGATCATTATTTTTACAAAATCACTCGTTCTTTTATAATAGTATAGATAGATAGATTTTTCACAATTTAAATTTCATACGACATCTTGAATAAATTAATATAGGTAAATTGTATTATACATTGATTTTATATCTTAAATTTATAATATTATTAATGAATATCTATTATCGGTGCATCGAACGAGATTCGTGGGATTCGTATTAGTGATACTTGATATAGTCAACACCTGTTTGATGACTTGTTTAAAATTTCTATTTTTGTTTGTATATTGATTGGTGTTAGTTCTCCGTAAGTAGAAAGGAAAAAAGTCAACTTAATGTACATTGGAGGGTAGATGAATGAATGAACGAATTTGCAGATATAATTTTGAAATCATTCATTTATTACTTTCCATTACAATGGCAATGTATGTTGGCAGAGTTGGGTAATTTGGAAATGGATTTCAAATAGTCGCATAATCCGAGGGACAGCAGGAAGAAAACAAGTGAGAAAAAATGGATTTTTTTCTTCTTGGATTAATTCCCATATCAATGCACAGCTGATCATTGCAGTGTATTTGCAGCATTGCACCAACGCAGGCCCTCTTGTAAACTCCGTTAAGACGCGCATTCTTCTCCCATTCTTTCACATTTTCTTCCATTTCCTTTATGGGAGGCAACTTGGCTACTTTTCCCGCCAAAAAATGCGCAATCCACTTGCTTTGCATCTCGACCGTGAACAATGCTGAAGGGCCCTCCGAATAACCCATGATTGCTAGTTGTGGGATTCTTGGATGAATGCATTCCCTGTAGAAAGGAGCAGTTGAACCTAAAATAAAATTTTTGAACTCGACTGATGTGAACATGTTTGATATCTTCTCATCACTCTTGTAACCCGTTGCGAAAATAACAACGTCCGTCTCCAGATGGGCCGATTCCGAATCCAAATCCAAAATGAGGCCCTTTTCGTAAAATCCCAAAACGCGCGATTTCTTTAGTATGAGGCTCCCTTCTCTCACCCTCTTGTAAAACTGTCGTGGCAAGACCATCAACATACAAGAATGGATTTGTTTTATGAAACTGTGCTCTGGCACCATACCGTATTTTCTCAACGGGTAAGCGCATTTCAGGTACAATTCCACTAATTTCGAAAAAATCCACCGCTGGAATCATCAAACAAACAACATTAACCTCTCATGTGTTAGTTACTACTATGCTATAATAATGGAACAAAAATTTAATTTGTTGATTTTATTGCATTTTACCAGAGGCGAAAGTAAAACGGCAAGGAACCACAGAATTAGTCCTTCACCAGGCTTGTGAACCATAAGCTCCGAAAATCGATTTAAGTTTCTGAATGTAAATCTAACCAAATTCTCAGAACTAGACCAGTGCACTCTCCTGAAGAGTAATGTGCATGGATTTGTAACACCTGCAAAACAAAATTATATATTAACAAAACATTTCAATTTATTGTTTGTGAAAAATGATGGCCCATACCATTATTCTTGGCGATTTCTGCTGCAATATCAAGTGCCGATTTCTGGAAACCAACAACAGTCACTCTCTTGTTTTCCACAAATTTCATTGCTCTAAGTTTGTCCATTTGAGCATAATCCATAGAATGTATAACGTCTCCCGTAAACCTATTAGCTCCTTTGCTAATCGGAAAATCCGGGATATTTGGGACATCACTATACTTCCCAATGCAAAGAATCACAAAGTCCACTTGATATACCTTCAAGTTCAACCACAACAAATTAATTTTATAACTTAAAAAAGAAAAAAATCGATCAGAATGTCGAAGATATATAACACTAAGAAACAGGTATATATACGTACGTACCTTTGGGGAGTTGACAGGTTGCAAAACATTGTGAACAACAACATTCCATTTTCCAGTAGAAGAAAAGGCCTCTCCACTGCCACCCCATAAATCCCAAGAAAACATATTTTCATCATCACTTGATGAGACATAATCAATTCCGATAACCTTGGAACTGAATTTAATTCGTGGGAAGATATTGAAATGGAGAACATAAGATGTTAAATAGTCCATGACTTGGTTGTGGTCCGGAAACTTTTGTGACACGTGTTCGGGCCATGGAAAGTCCGAGAATTGGAAATAATCCTTTGGAGTTTGCAGCTTAGTTGAATCTATGGTGCTCGACCAAACTCCACCGATGTTATTTCTTGACTCGAAAATCACAGGGTTAAATCCCTTCTCAATCATGTGTTTACATGCAACAAGGCCGCTGATGCCAGCCCCAATTATTGCTATTTTTTTCATATCTTTCTTTGGTTCACATGATGGCTTTAAAGAAACCATTGTAAGAAAATAACTGCAACTCTTGGGAACTTATGTTATATATATATAGATATTTCTGGCTGTGACAGAACAAATGTAATGTGAAACCGTGATAATGGCATTAAATGGTTACAATGCGAGCATGTGACCTTGTATTAGATTCTGGGTGCAGAACAACCTGGACCAGCTTGAATGACATTGATGTAATAATATTTTAGGAATTTTCTAAAGTCCCGTTGAGACTTTCCAGGGAACCATTCCCTCAAAATTAAAGCCAATCATAATCCGCCACATCATTTACTAACATGCAATAGAATGTAGGCTAACTTTTCCAATTTTAAGAAGACGTGTCAGCGCAAGTTGAATGAATATTTATCTATATTGCTTATTAGCCAAATTATTTTTAATATGATCGCATAAATGTATAAAAATAGGATGCGAGATGTAATGTAAAAATTAGTAATATAAAAAGTATTTTAAATAGGATGATATTTAAAATTTTTATGCTAAAAAGTAAAAACAAAATAGAAATAGAAATTTTTATTTAAAATTTTAAATATTTAATAAAAAATTTATTATTTTTTTCATAACTCATACCATATAAAAGAATTTATAGATACATGTTTTTATGTCTATATTGTTAACAACAAATTGATATTAATAAATAATATCACATGTTAACTCTACATTTTTAATTTGTAATTATTATTTAATATTGTTTATCCACATCTTTAATTTACAATTATTATTTAATATTGTGTACCCGTGCATCGCACGTCGCACGGGCTATACACTAGTAAAATAGAGAAAGAGAGAAAGAATAACTGAGCAACAATCATTGTGCAAATTACAATGATTAACGGACAACCCCGCGAATCACATAAACTTTGCGGGGTTTGAATATATTGTACGAGATACGAATAAAAAACCAAAAGATCTTCTACTCTATTACTCAAAACACCTTTTTCGAACGATCTTGGTAGAGCGATCGAACGGAGCTCTCAAATCTCACAAGCTCCCAAGAAGAAGAAGAAAAATCGGCTCATAATAGGGAGAGAGCAGAACGTATATCTCATCTATCTCTCGTGTTTGGAGGCTTGAGACTTGGCTACGGGCTACGGGCCACCCGGCCTGCAGGCCCAGCCCAGTCAAACCTGTTGACCACGGGTTCGGGCCCGGCTTAGATTTCAACCGGGCCGATCCAGGGCCTTGTCTTTGTCGACCCTGGCCCGGCGGGTCGGGCCAGAACGGAAAAAAGGCATGATTTTCAATTTTTTTTTTATTTGGGTTTAGGGTTTAGGGTTTAGGGTTTAGGGTTTAGACCGGGCACGGACCTAGGCCGTGCCGGCTCAGGGTCCATGTAACCCAACCCTCCGGTCTGCCTTTTAGCCATGTCTAAGCTACAGTAGAGACCCTAAGAATGTGTTAAATATGGACTTATCAAGCATGAGTCAAATTGCGGGTCAAGCCCACTCTGCTCAATACTCGAATAATAAATTATTCCAAGAAATATTATCGGATCTCAATTTAACTCAGAACTACAATTAATTCATTTCCCTATTTATTGCTCGATTTATATCCCCGTTTAAGGTTTAACGTCCATTGCTTAATTTATTACTGACAATAAAATTAATCAACTTCTCGAATTCGAAGCTAGTACCACTCAATTTTTTATTATTATGTTGAAAATTAATCCGTTGAGTTTGACATAATAATCCTTCTTGAGCTCATTTTGGAGACGTCATCAACACGAACAATCGTCGTTTTTTGATGGTTTTTTACTAAATCTTAAATATTTTTAGATAGTCAAATTTTCTTTCCCGGACTTTCCGGCATATGGTGACAGTAAACAATATTGACGGCACATCATGCAGCCACCATTACTCACCAAAATAGAGTACGTCGACCTACCAGAATACGTCTCACCCATGATAAATTAAATAAATAAGTATCGACTACATATGCCCGTACATTATCTCACGGGTTAAGAATACGCAACAAACACTGAGGTCTAGATTATTTAATTGGTCAGTATAAAATAATCTTATTCTCTTGTGGGTCCGTTCAATACATCTAGGATGTACTAGTGTAATCATTAGTCTAAGATCAACTAATTTCAACATTTACACTACAATATTTCACGACATGGAGTTCAGTTCCCGTCCAGACTGTGAACGATTATTTATATTTTACAAGGAAACGATAATATAATCTTACTATTCCAAACCCATAACCATATTGTCTACAATGTAAAATAAGAACAATGTTCGTATAAATAAATTAACTATGAAAATCTACTTGACTAAAAACACGCATCTCATTCAAAATGGTATTGTTAAATAACACAGAGTCGAGCTTTTACAGTATGCTCCAACAATTTGAAAGCTTTGAAAATTAATAAAAAAATATCTAAAATATTTTTTTAATAAGTTTTAAATAAAGGAATAAGAACACTATAAAATTATATCAATTGATTTTGAGATAATTTTTGAAATCATTTAAATAAGAATTTGCGTAATTGTTTTGAGATATATAATCACATATAAATACAATGAGATCAAAATATATATATAATCCATATACTGTTGATTTGCTCGCCACTTTTATTTTTGTTAGGCAAGATTAGACAAAAAATGAGTAACATATGAAACAGAAAAATAATGGAAGCGGAAAAATTGTGGCGATTTATTTTGTTCAATAATAAAGGTGAATAAAATAAATAATTACTAGAAAAAAAAAAAGTTAACAAGGTAAATCCGGCATTATTATTTTTTTAATTTTAGAAAATAAAAGTAATTATAAGTCAAATGTCCAAATATTTTAATACTTTTTATTGATTCCTTTTATGTGACATTTATTATTTTTTCATGTCCAAAAGATAGAAAGGAAAAAAAAAAGTAAGACCTGCACGTTTTCACAATAATAATTATCTGAACTAATCCACATGGCATTAGTATATACCTTAACCAAATCTAGGGGTCAATGTTAACTTTTATCATCCAATGATCCCTATTAACATAACTTTTATCATTTTAAATTTTTTAATAATATACATGAAAGAAAACGAAAAAATATATTTTGAACATGAATTTATTAAACATAATAGCAAACATTAAAATATAAAAAACATACTATTATTTTATTTTTATTCATAGTTAGATTTAATTGCTAGAATTTTAATATGTAAACACGGTAATAAATTGATTAGAGAAAATAATAATACTACTATTAAATTTTATTTTATTATACTATGAATTTATAAATTATGTACAACATAGCTTAGTCAAAAAGTGTCAATCATTAACTATTTTCAAAGAAATTATTGTCGAAAATTAATTTTGAAAAGTTACAAAAATTTATAAACTAAAATATAATGATAAAAATTACTCTATAATAGAACAATGGATAATATATAAAAAAATAAATGCAAAGACATATTGTCAAATGGATGAATATTGGGCGCTTACGATATCTTTTATATTTGATATATTTACAATAGTAAAACTATAATTACAACGATTTAAAAGAGATAGAAATATAATTTATTGTAAAATTATAAATATAAATAACAACAATAAAATTCATCTAACTAAAAGTAATTGAACGTAATTGTCAAATAAATTATAAAATATATCAACTTTGAATAGGGATATTTTCTCTTAGCTACAAAATATCACATTTGATACAAGCTTCTATCAGGTGAATTATATAATTGTGATGACATATTGCCAAATAGATGAATATTGAGTGCTTAAAATACTTTTTATATTTGATATATTTACAATAGTAAAACTATAATTACAATGATTAGTAAAAGAGATAAAAGTATAATTTATTGTAAAATTATAAGTATACATAATAACAAATAAAGTTCAGCTAACTAAAAGTAATTGAACGTAAATTGTCAAATAAATTATAAAATATGTTAACTTTGAATAGGGATATTTTTTCTTAACTACAAAATATCACCTTTCATACAAGTTTCTATGATGATGAATTATATAAAATACAAATATAAAAATATAAATTATTTTTTAATATAAAATAAATAATGCATAAAATCTCATATTTTATGAAATATTATTTCAAATACACAAATTATTTTTTAATTGTCAATATCATAAATTAATTCTTTTGATTTTTTTTTTGTCAATCACTCGTGAAATAGATAAACTATTACGCTATAAACTGTACATTGAGATTTTTTATGTACAAAAATATAATATAAATAAAATATAAAATGGTATTTAATAACTATTTTTTTTTATATATTTAGTGATTTATAATATATATATATATATATATTAGTTAATTTTTATATAATTTTTGTTAGTTTTTAAAAATTTCCATGATTCTCAATAAAGGGTTTTGATGTATAATAATTAGATTTTTGTTTTAAATTTTAAGAATATACAATATTAATTGTTTATTTAAAAGTCACTTTAATTAATCATTGTACTATCATATATTGACGACTGAAATATTTATATACAGTTATATAATTGTTTCAATCTCATGTGACGTTATATAATTTTTTTGTTAATAATGACATTTATTGTATATGTTGAGTCTATAACTAACTTACTCTCTAAGACACCTATTAAATAATAATAATAATAATAATAATAATAATATTAATAATAATAATAATAGATACTAATCTACACCATTCTCCTCCGGTTCGGAAGGCTTCGCCCTCGAAGCCGATGCGCTCCGTGGCCGGCGTGTGGTGTCGAACTCACGGTAGGAAACCCCGTCGTTTTAACCGGTCGAACACGAAGGATGAATGTCGTCCAACAGTCCCGATGGTAAACATAATCATGGGCAAGGATTGAATTGCTGCAAAGGCACATGTACACGCCTCCATATGCATAACCCACACAGTGGAATTAACACCAAACATACCACATCGTTCACCGCACTCAAATCCATAGCTACGGCCAAGCATCTCGTTGTTGAGAGACTTCCGGATAGACAATCAGAAAATGGTCCACCAGTTATTGAGCCTCGGAGTCGGCTCCCAAAAACCATTGTTGGCCAAGATACTCCAAACATCGGGTTTCAATGACAGCATCCCCGTCAAAG